GCCCCGCCTCGGCTGCTGCTGGTGCAGGGCCCGGCCTTCGCGGGGCAGGTGTCGGCGGACCCGGACTGCACGTCTTATTTTTATTTTTTGGTAAAAATATATTTGTCCCTATATATAAGATTATACATATCTCCTCTCTAACATGTTACATCCCGGAAGGGTAAAACTGATCCCGTTACATGAAGACGGTACCCGCGCTCCCGCACAAAGGCCTGCTGGCCACCCGTACCCGTTACAATATCCACAACCACGCGCAACACGCACAGTCCACGAACTCAGTCCTTTCTGGTCTCTCCTGTCCACCCGTGCCCCACTGCCGGGGGCAGGCACTCAGTTCACAGGGGCTCTCCGTCGCTGTCGCTCCAGCTCCCGCCGGGGGACCCGCTGCTGCTGCTGTCGTCGCCGTCGCTGTCACTGTCCTTCGCTCCACCCGTCTGTTCCTCTTCTCCACTGCCGTCGCTCTCTTCTCCCTCAGCGGGACCTGTATGGTCCTGTGCCACGTGTCCCTGTGCCAGGTGGCATTCGCTGAGTCTTCTCCCTCCTCTGCTACCGATTTCTGGTGGTAGATCGACATCACCTTTTTTTTTTTTTTTTTATATAAAATATTTTATTAGAAAACCAGACTATAACAAAAGACTCAAAACGACCCCAAACAGAGGCCTCTCAAAAGGATAATACAACATTTCAAATAACATAATACAAAACATCGAAATTGATATCATATTGCACGTCATCTCATTTGTACACAATATATACAACATCCCTGAGTATTGGCTATCTAATACATATTACACATATCACATTAGACATCCTGTACGCCCCCCCCCCCAAAAAAAAGGAAAGCAAGAACACTGAGTGCAATATAGGTCTCTTGTTGTCTCTATCCCATGTGCAACCCTAGCCAGCCTTTTCTACTCACAATGCTGACTCTTAGTTTAGCCTATATCTGTGCTGGGCTGAAACAACCCCCTGAAGTCCATCTCTTGCCAGAATTTTTCCTCCCCTCCTTCTTTTGTATTTGGTGATCATAGTATTATTTTCGTAACAAAACAAAAAAAAACAAAAAACTAACTGCAGACACCCCGTCGTGGAAAAGCACGACCCCTTTAGAGCCAACAAGGAGCATATTTTCCATAGTGCTACTTTGGTGCACCTGATTAAAACCCTCACCCCCCATGTCCCATCCGTCCCCTCTGATAAACCATAGAGAACATTTCTGAAAGTCACCCCCATTCCCCTTCCCGTATCCTTCAACTAGGTAGTCACCTTCCCCCACACCCGTTGTGCGTAAAAGCAGTCCCACAGCACATGCGTCACCGACTCGGGTCATCGCAGAGCTCCCTTGGGCACTTGGGGGACCGAGAGAGTCCCCAGCGATAGAGCACCTGTCGCACTGGCAGAGCATTTCGCACCGCTCTCCATGCCAGCTCCTCATGCTCCCCTTTCCAGTCCTTCCCTAACAGACCTTTCCACACCCTACTGACTTGTTCAGGTCTCAATTCCCCAACATCCGACATCCTCTGCTTTCCTCTCAGGAAATTAAAGACCTTTTTGGCATCTCCCAGACCCTCAGTTCCTAACCCCTCCAATCCTTCTTTCGCAACAAAGGCTCCAAGTCTGGCGTAGGGCAGCGACATCTGCCGAGCCCACGCTCCCTGCCACGCACTCCCGAACAGGCCCAGCCTTCTCAGGAGCCTCCCCCCAGAACCTGCAGAAATTGGTAACCATCCCCGCTGCTCCCCTCACTTCCCTCACCACCATCTTCAAAAAGTGCACGTAAACAAAGGTCTCTATGTTGGGGAAGCCCCATCCCCCCAATCCCTCATCCTTATATATCTCTGTCCTAGCCACTTTCTCAGTCTTCCCCCCCCCACAAAAGAAAAGGCACAAGGCCCGCTGGACCCGCCGGGACTGTCGCCAAGACGGGACGGACATCCAAGGGTTAGCGGCAGCAAGCACTGTTTGATCGCTTGCACCTTCCCCTTCGATGCTAACCC